TTGAGTTTTTAGTGCTCCTGCTGCTTTTGCCATGGTTTCACCCCCATTTGCAGGACTCAACCCTGGTGAAACGCTGCCACAGCCACACCAAGCTCCCCAAACCACCCCAAGCACGGGAATAACGATGCAGCAGGCACAGAACCGGAGCTGCCAGACAAGCTCCATGTTCATAAATGTTATTAAGATGATGAATTAAATATGAATTTTATTTCAGACAGAACTTCAAAATCACTGAGAGACCCCAATGCGCTTGTGTTGCATAAACGCTCGGCGTGTTCCTTAACACGATCGTTTGGCTCCCTTGGACATCAGCGTCGGGATGGGACGGGATCGAGTGCTGCTGTGGTTTGGAAAGCAGAGACGCCTCTCCTCTGCCTTTTTTGGGAACATGCTCACATTTTGTAGCCCACTGAGTCAGTGCTGCAGGGTGCTGGGGCATTTTCTGCCAGGGAAGCGTCACCTCTGCGCACACTGGCTCTGCCTTATTAATCTTTCATGTGCTGACAGTGATATTTGGTGACTGACAGCTGCCAGGACAGGGCTGGAAGAAGCCAGTCAGTTTTTTAATTTACAGTTCACCGTCTTCAGCTCAAAACGAAAAACTAAGAACCTTTAAAATGGGGAAAAATTAAAAATCTAAGTTTCTACTCCCAAGTTTTTGGCTCTATTGCCCTGACCATTGCCCAGGGCTGTCTCACACTCTGCTTTGACCTCCCTGCAATACACGCTGCCTGCTCAACCGTGGAATGCTGAGCAGCTCCATCCCTCCAGGGCTGGAAACACATAACATAACTCACCTCAGCCAGTGACCTAGACACCTGTGGGAACCTCTCCCCAGTGCAGTAGGGATGGTAAAGACTCCTTCCCTGCTCCAAAGCAGACCCAGGGTGCTCCAAGCCACCAAAACAGTTTTCTCCTACAATTTAAAAGCCTTTTGAGATACCATGCAAGCACATAACCCCTTGTCACTGAGAGCACAGTGCAGCCACTGCTGTGCAGACACAGCCTGGGCGAGCTGCTGCTACCAATAGGGTCATCTCAGTACAGGCATCTGCCAACTGCTGAACAAAACAGGGAGATAAATGATATTCAACCCCATTGCTGATGTTGCAAAACATAGAGTGTTTTTTCCCCAAAGAAGGAAAGTGCTGGAGTTGAGCAGCAGCTTCAGTAGAGATCTGCACTAGAGTGAGCAATGGTTTGATGGTAGCAGCAACTGTGAGCCTTTGGCCTCACCCAGGGTGACACTCTGGGGTCCTTCACACACAAAACAGGGAGATAAATGATATTCAACCCCATTGCTGATGTTGCAAAACATAGAGTGTTTTTTCCCCAAAGAAGGAAAGTGCTGGAGTTGAGCAGCAGCTTCAGTAGAGATCTGCACTAGAGTGAGCAATGGTTTGATGGTAGCAGCAACTGTGAGCCTTTGGCCTCACCCAGGGTGACACTCTGGGGTCCTTCACACACAGGGAACACTTGAGTATCAGAAAGGGGGTTGCCCATGGCTGGCAGGTCTGTTCAGTGCAGAAAGGTGCGACCTGGCTCTCCTCTGCGCTCCTGGAGATGGCAGCTTTCCTTTTGCCAGTTTGGGCATCACCTTGCATGTTGTTCCCTCACCAGTCCAAAGCTTGTGGTTTCCAGTCCATGGGACCATCCCAATCAATCCACATCCACACCACACTGATGGGTTTTTGATAATTTTCCAAAAACCCCAGGAAAAGGTGTTTCTCACAGGCACTGTCACCACGGGGTGGCCAAAGGTGACGTTCCTGAAGAGCAAATAAAGCCTAACTCAAAGGTTTCTTGAAGAATTTTATTAAACTAAGGTGAAAAAGGAACAGTAACAAACCATCTCTTGTGGATAATGATACCAAACCACCTCAGTTCAGTCCAACTCACTGAATCAAGAGCAGGACCAAGTGCCTGGATCTCTGCTCTCCTGTAAACAAGAGCAGAAGAGAGGTTCAAACACCTTTGCAGGAGCAGAGGTTTGAACCCCTCAGGGAGGAAGGGGCTTGTGCTCCTTGCTTTTAAGGATGAGAGATGCAGTGCTGGGTGCAAGTGACACTTCCCGAGCTCGGAAACATCATCGTGGTCACCTCCAGAACAGTCTCCTGCTCTCCCTTCCTGGTTTATTCCCATGAAACTGGGATTTCCTCTCCACAGAGACTGTCATCTCTAGTTGCTGTGGAGTGGCTTGGCATACACAGGCTCCATGAGGTGGTAAATCAGGAGCAGGAACAGGCACCCAAGGAACACCAGGCTCATCACTGCCAGCAGGATGAAGCGGCCGATGAAGAAGGTATCCACGATCTGCAGGGAACAGAAACAGAAAGATCCCAGCACATGCCACACCCTCAGTCTGCTCCAGGATCCTGGAGGGAGCACACCATGTCCTGCAAAAGAGAACCTTTTGGGTTCTCCCAAATTTCCTCCTTGCTTTCCATCCCTGGCACAGGGACTCTCTGTGGGACACATGGTACGTGACAGAGGAGTACAAGCTGCTTATGGGAATGGTAATGTGAAGCAGCACAGCACTGAGCACAGGGAAGAGACTGTAGTCAAGCCCTGCAGCAGCTCTGCCCAGTCACAAACCTCCAGCCCGGACTCCCTTTTAGAAGGGAAATAGTGGGAAGAGAAAAAAAGAAGGGATTATAAAAAAGAAGCTGCAGCAGCAAGGCAGGACACAAAGGGAAGGCAACGTCGAGGAGGCTGTTCCGAAATCCACTCTCTGCTCCTGGGACTCCCCCGGAGCTCCACTTGTCCCAGCTCAGCTTTATCTATCGCATTAGCGCAGACTCAGCCCTGGTGCTGTTGCACAGAGAGTCTCTTGTGAGCAGAGCTCTGGCTCCTTCTGCACGTTTCACTTTTTAATTAGCCAATTAGCAGAGTTTCAGTGCAGAGAGCCCAGGCCATGTATTATTGATAGGCAGGGCAGGTCCAGTCCAATTGAAGATCCGTAAAAAAAATAAGCTTTCCAATTCCGTTTGCCTCCCAGGCACAAACACGCGCTGG